CTTGCTTTGGCCCTCTTAATTTGTCTTCTAATACCTTGGTTTTCTTCCCAATCAACTACTTTCTCACATCTAAATTTTCAAACTATTTTGTAAAAACTATTCCAAAGTAAAAAGGTAGCATCTTCGAGGAGCTGTCTTGAGACTGCATGTGACCCTATCCTTATATGCATTTTACGGAGAGCTTCTTTACGTGATAACCTTTTGATTGCTTCTACTCTCCTTCTTTTCCTTTTATCTGGACTTCAGCCTAGAATAATTTCTGCCAACTCTTTCTTAGTAGATATATGTGTCTTTTCCTCTATGACTATTGTCCATAATGCATCAACTGTCATCTTCTCTATTGTTTTCTAACTTTCTTTGTGTATACTGCAGGTTGCTAAGTGTTTCAAAGTTTCTGGTGCTATATTGCAACCTATGCAATTCGGAGATACGTAGAGATTGGGCTTTCGTCTATATAAAAATTCAAGCGTGGGAAGTCGATCTTGGATGCATTTGATTAGCATATTCAGCTTTTTACTTTTCCTTGTTAAGTCGCATTTTATACCCGACTGGTTTTTAAGTCTTTTCCAGAAGATCTCCCAATTGTAGTTTGTATCTACTTTGTAGTTTTTGAGTGGTTCTACTGCACCTGAGGACCGCCATTCTGCTCCAGTTTTCAGATTGAAGACATAGCTTATGAAGCTTCTGGGCTCTGGCTCTACACAAGTGTTGTTCCAGTATAGCTTGAATGGGATTCTTGAGCTTAGATAAAGATTATGTATCAGAATTTTGTCCAAATTTGCACCATCTTTTGCTAGTGCATCTGCTATATTATTCCATTTGCTGTTTGTATAGGCTTTAACCTTGGTCAATGATAAGTTGATTTCTTTTATTTTGCACAAATCTGCTATTACTAAGGCTATTTCTACATTCTTAAACTTGTACTAGTCTTCTGAGCTTAACTTTCCAAGATATCTCTTAATGATCGATAAAGCAGCAGCACTGTCTGATGCAATTTTAACCTTTTTTTTAGCTGGTACTGTTAATAATGCTAGCCAGAAAGCATATAGCTCTGGCTTAATAGAAGATAGCCAGTTACGAAGTCCTATATAACCTTTATCTATTATTTTAGTTTCTTTTACATTTACTTGAACCCAGCCTGTGCCCATCTTGCTACTATTATCTATATCATCTGATGTACTTATTAGTGAGCTATCTGTATATATTACAAAATTTTCTTCTCTACTATTAATATTGTTTATCACTTTTTTACATAACTCATCCGCTATTTCTAGATTCTCAATCTGCTTTCTGATTAGCTCTATCTCAAGAGAGTCAATTGTCTTGATGCCTACTAGCCTTTCTTCATTTTGGAATCTATTTGCTCTTGCCTCTTTAGATTTTCTGAATATCATCTCCTCTTCGTCTATTATTATCTCTCCATTTTTGATTAGATTCTTAGGCAGGGCTCCTACTATTAGATTTTTCCGCACTCTTCTAATATTTTTCTGATCATTTACTGAACTTGTTGGTGTGCCTATATCAACCCATATTTCTTTCCTAGATTTCTTGACAACTCTGCCTATCTCAATAGCATTGTGTGTGTCGTCTTTATTGTCTATTAGTATATATTCTCTTTTTCTCTTATCAGAGGAGAGGTTAGGTAGCCAAATCTTCATTGCTAGACCGTTACTGCTACTAAGTCACCATTCTTCTTGAAGGTCCCTTTTGAGTGAGTCTACTAGCGATATATTTTCTAAGCTTTGAAACCATTTTGCCTTTCTGCCTTTACTTGGCATATTTCTCAAAACCTTCATTTGCTTCTATGTAATCATTTCTGAACCTTCCGAGTTGTTTAATTGATATGTGTAGAATACGCCTAACTTTTGCAGACTTTTAAAATCTTGTGTCGTTAAACTAAAGCTGATAATCTCTCTGATAGTTTTGCCAAAATCATGTATCGCCCACTCTGACTCATCAAGATCGATGTAAAGTAGAGGTCCAATCTGGATAAATCCGTTATCTATTTATCCATATCTGAATTTATCCGGATATCCATTTACTATTGGTATCCAGATAATCCGACAAATATTCGGATAATTATCCGGATATCAATAGTAAAACGGATATCCAAATAAATTCAGATCTGGATATCCAATAGATAAATGGATAAACGAATAATGGATAGGAACTCTAATGTAAAGGTTGGACTCTGCTATATTCTATAGAGTTGTACAGGCTAGATTATTTCTCCACAATCTTTTTAGACTACTATCTTTGAAACTGTCTTTAATGTTCTTGACAATCCCTGCCTGTAACAAGCCCTGTTTAATTTGCAATTTTGCAAAAAGACTTTCTATACTCCGACTATTGAGTCATTTTAACAAACTTGTCGTCTGTTTGGTTATTAGCTCTTGCCACAGTGGCTTGCAGTTGCCTAGGTTCTTGTGAAATATTGCAAAGTTGCCTATT